AAAAAAAAAAAAAAAAAAAAAAAAAAAAAAAAAAAAAAAAAAAAAAAAAGCAACGACAGCCAAGCTGGGGCCACGAGAGCTCAGTGGAAGAGGAAGAGAGACCTATGGAGTGCATGAATGTGGGAGAAGCCACAATTAGAGACAGAAAGAACTACTCTGACCATTTCGAGCCCCAGCTGCTTCCAGGATGGAGCTGGTGAGCGCACAGAGCAGGAGCTGGCAAAAGCTGCTGCTGTGCCCTTCGGATGAAGTTGCTTGGAGGTTGCAAGGGAGAAGAGGGCCTTGGTGGCCCCCAGGCCAAGAAGACCACTAACAGGGTTCCGGTGAACCCACATAAGAGCGAGGAGCCACAACTGAAAAAAGGAGCCACTCAGAGGCTGGTGAGTCATTGCAAGGGACGGCTCATGGCACCCGCATGGGAAGGGTTTGGAGTGCAGGAAGTGGGAAGACAGGCCCTCCCGGGAGAACACTGGGACACAGCAAGGACAGCTGATCTGCCCTCCAATCAGTGCAGGACCACTCAGTGGAGACTGGTCAGGAATATAGAACTGCAGGGGGTGCAGTTCACTGAAAAGACTCAGGCCCAGACCAGAATTTCCACACAACCCAGGTGTACTGGACCTCATGAGAGCTGGAAGTACATATAAAGTCGACCATTAAAACCTGATCCGCTTATAAAGCCTTCCTCAGGGAATGAGCAGCAAAGCAGCAATTGAGCTCAACCACAGAGTTCCTCCATTTTAGAGGTAAGCAAAGGACAACAAATCAGTTTCAGTGCAGAGTTTAAGCAGTAGGAACAGCAAATAATCTAACACAGAACTGGAAGAAAAAACAAAATACCCACAAACCAGAGACAAAGTTTGATATTAACTAGTAAAGGTCTCAAAACACCAAAGAACACCTATAAAACCGAGAAGGACTGGAAGACCCCTGGGCTCCCAAGCCAGGGAGTGGGGAGGGCTGGGGGCCCCAGCCATGCCCCCCAACACCCACAACCAGCCCAGTGACCGACGACCATCAAGCTGCCGCAAGAAGCACCCCAGGCTCCCAAGCTGGGGTGTTGTGGGGCAAGGGCTTCGGCCCTCTCCCCACGTCTGCACCCAGCCCAGCTATGACAAAACCACCGCTGGAAGCCCTCTGGTCTTCTCTGCAGGAATGAGGGGGGTACCATAGGCCGCAACCCTGCCCCTCCTCCTTCCTCCTTCTCCCACCCTATTTCCTTCCCCCTTTCCCCCAACTTCTCTGCAACAAAATCATAGAATGTAAAAAAACAATATTAATAAACTTTAAAAAAATAAATAAAAAGATAATAGGAATCTTTCCATGAACTTTTTGAAGTACCCTTGTACTGGCAGTCTTACCACTACACTTACTGCCTCTTTACAAATAGGGCCGGCTGTGTTTCGAAATTATTATTAATAGCTAAAATCTCAGAATTTGGTCAAAAAAAATGTTTCCAGTGAAGTTAGGAGACAGAGACAAATTTCTTAATCAGTTTGCAAGAGCAATGAATAGCAGAGCCTAGAAGAAGAAAAACAGAAAGACACTGCTTTAGTCCAGTAAAGAATGAACATAAGATCTTGATTTGATTCTCTCTCTCCACCTCCACATACTTGGAAGCCCAGGATTTAGAGTTTGTATAACAGAGTAATGGATTACCCCTCTCTCACTTGCTGGCCATCATCTCCAAGCTCTGTCTTCAGATTCTCCAGTATAGCTACTGCCACTTCCACACTCTCTGGATGATTCTCTTGCACACAGTCCAAAGCTCCTTGGGAAAGATGGCCAGGAACTGCTCGAGCATGAGCAGTTCCAGGATCTGCTCCTCAGTGTGCATCTCTGGCTTCAGACAGTTATGAGAAAGTTCCTGGAGCCCACTAAGAACCTCCTTGGGTCCAGGGGCCTCCTGCTTGAAACATTAGTGAGAGAGTCCCTGGTTAGGGTGCACATTCTAAGGCAGTCTAGACTTCTCCCAAGGACGTTCTTCTCTTCCAGTTTCACTATGTGCAAATCCCCCTGCTCCTGGGGTTTGTGAACCACAGGGGTCAGTGTCACACTGAATCTCAATTGGCAGAAATCTTGGGCTGTAATGGCTCTGAAAAAAACTCACCTGACTTAGGGTACAGGGGTCAGGAAGGTGAGGGCCCTCCTTGGTGACCAGAAGTTACTGTAAACAGAACAAAGTTACCAGGGCAGCCAAGAACTGACGTAAGCTTGTTAACGTCATACTGCAAGATAAAAAATATCAAGTGACAAACCAAGCCAAACATTTTAGGGACAAACTGTTGCCAAGGCTGCGGAGACAGATCTTTACTGGGCAGCAGAAACCAGGGAAACCCAGCCCATCTACTATCACTTTGGAGGCTACATCTCGTCCCTCCCTGGAGGTCTTTACCAGTTGAGGGCACTCCCTGCAGCCAGGGCTGGGCAAGGAGAGTGGGGGGGTCACCCCACACTCCCCGGCCTCTAGCATCTTCCCTCTTTCTTCAATCCGCTCTGGAGCCCCATTCTTCACACCAAAGCCGCAAAACGGCAGGCTCTTTTCAGGAGAGCAGGGGACAGCACTTGAGCATGAGCAAAAACATGCACACAGGTACACACCTCCACTAGTCTGTTAGGAATCCTGAGAAGCTACTTCGGGGCCTACCTATGAACTTTGGAGCTTTGGGCTTCTCTGTTTTCTCTACTCTCCAGCTGGCCTGCTCGTGATTCCCATGCCCTCCTTCTCTCCAAGCTGCCAGGCCAGGGCTCAGCCTCCCTCAGAGTCAAAACCACAGCTTCTGCATACCCCACCCACAGTCTCCTGGAAAGCAGCCTCGTGTCTTTTAGGTATTTGTGAGGAGACCCCTTCACCCAGAAAATGTATGTCAGAAAACAGTAGCAGAAAAGATGCCAGTCTTGTAGTCAAGAAATTTGAAAGTCACGTTCTGCATTACTTTATAGTAGCACCTCTCTGTGCCAAGCACCAAAGTAAATTATATGGACCAGACAGGTTTATTACAAAATGGATGGAGGAATGATGGAATGAACCCAGGAAAAGTTATTCCAACCTGTTCACTTTGTCAACCGAAATTAAGGCTGTTGAGGCAAAAGATTTTTAGAAGTTTATTGGTAGCCAAGTGTGAAGATTAACCTGGGAAACACTAACTAACAGAGTTGGAAAGTGCTCCAAAGTCTGCTACAAGCAAAGGTATTTCATAGGGGAGTTTCAAAAAGGAGGGGGAAAAGCTACAAGTACGCTTGTCCTTTTCTTGCAAAACAATCACAATCACTGGGTACTGTACACAGCATGGGAGCCAGAAGTGTCTACATGCAATCTGAAGCAGAAGCTTCATGCCTCAGCTATTCTTAACAATAATATTGGGGCCGGCCCGGTGGCGCACTGCTACAGTGCGCCGCTTGGGAAGCGCGGCAGCGCTCCCGCCGAGGGTTTAGATCCCACATACAGACCGGCTGCTCACTGGCTGAGCGAGGTGCGGGCGCAGCGCCGAGGGTTGCGATCCCGTTGCCGGTCCTGGTCCGGTACGGGCGCAACACTGAGGGATGCGATCTGTTTCTGGTCATGAAAAAAGACAAAAAGGAAAAAAAAAACAAAACAATAATATCTAAATGCTTATTCAAAACCAGCAGAACACTGTTTATCGTAAGAACAAGATGTCCACACCAAGTTCATGAGACTTAACCCAAGGCAGTGGGTTTTGGAAAACCTGCTTTTTTTGATTATTTCCTTCATCGATTTCACCAACCAAGTTATGTCCTTTCTAAGGGGCATTGGGCAAGTTGGGATGAGATTTCCCTCACTATGGATTCATGTTCTCAGTTTTGTTCCTCTATGCTCTGTTACCTAAGTAATGCCTTGAATACTCAAGCAAATAAAAAATAATTTTGATGTATAAAGCCCAGAAAAACAAGTTTTGATAAAACCTACTACTCTACCCAGCACCCTTTAAAAGAAATTGCATATACCGTTCCTGTGAAATATCAGTTATACATATTGTGTTAAGAGCTTTTTCCTCCTTTCCCTACAAATCTGATGGTTAAATTTTTGTGTGTCAACTTGGCTATGCAATGTGCCCAGATTTGCTGTTAAGGTATTCTGTAGTTGTGATTAACATCTACAGCCAGGTGACTTTAAATGAAAGAGATTACCCTGCATAATGTGGGTGGGCTTCATCCAATCAGTTAAAGACCTTAAGAACAAAATCAGATTCCTCAGAAGGAATTTTGCCTCAAGATGGTAACACAGAAATCCTGCCTGAGTTCCCAGCCTGCTAGCCTGACTTGCAGATTTTGGATATAGCCCCCCAAGCCTTTTGTTTGCAGCTCTCTCGGTAGTGAGACGATCCCCACATCTGTGTTGATTCCTCTGACCCTTGCCTGGTACTGTTCCATGGGTAACATGTATTCTGATCTCACACTAAATTCTTCAGTAAAACAAATTTGTTTCTACAATGTCTGCTCCTTCAAAGTCTTCAGAATACTCACTTCTCACTGCTTAGTATTTACAGTTGCACTGGTGTGGGGTGGGATATGGCATCACTTCAATGCTGGTTCCAGAAGTGTGTTCTCCACCCAGATGACTCTGTCTACAAACCTCCATCCTAGGAACAAACCAAGATGGCTGGCGTCAGAAAGGTAAACACTAAAAACATTAAAGAAAACAGCACAGAATTGAGGTGGCAGGGCATTTCTGTCAGATCAAGGAAAAAAACCCCAGTCTCCTTTAATTGCCAAAGGCAGGAAAAAGCAAGGCAAAAGAATTCACTTTCAACCCAGCACAGACAAGAATACCCTGGTGTTTTGCTGAGGCCCTTTACTTCTGCCTGTATGTGTTTTGCTTTCGCTAACATGCCCCATGACCTCAGTGAGGTCCTATCTCTTCAACTTGAGCTCTAGAACCATCACCCTCTCTGCCTTCAACACCCAGATCCTGGCCTCAAATTACTTGGGCAGGGTGGTAGGCACTACCCCAATATGAGGCTTCAAAATGTGCTTTTTCACATGCATCCGTGACCTCAGTACCTGCTGGCCACAAGGTGGCTCACAGTTTTGTGGAGTCCAGTGTGTCTTACGTCTGACCTACCTGAAGTGCTGACAGACAATTCAGGGAAACTGTGCATCCCTTTGCAACACAGAGCCCTACTCTGAGGAGTGAACACCATTTCACCTTCCCGAAAAGTGTTCCCTCTTTCCTGTTAACAATGTAGACCAAAGCAATCATCTGCAGTTTCTATCAATTTGGTATTCATCTCAAACCATACATGAGTTACGTTTCAGAGATCAAGAAATTTCAGGTCTGTTACTCAGGAGTGAGAAGTCACTATTAACATAGAAAAGGAATAACAAAGTAATTTTAGGGTCCAGATTTCTCTCCTTAGTTTCACATCTACATATACAGGGTTTGGGGATTAGGGTTGGGAAGTTAGGCTATAATCTAATGGACAGCTCTACTGGGATTCCCACAGAGGTACAAAAAATTTTTTTCTAAATTGAACTCATTAACTTTCTACCCTCTCTCAAATCTGAACTCTCCTGGTTAATAATAGGTATCTAGCTTCACACAGTCACTCAAATAAATCCTTGAAAATCATCCTAAGACCAATGCCAACCCCAACTCAGTAAGAGTTCCCCAAGCTTGTCCCATTCACCATACCTCTGAGCCTTTGCATATGCCACACCCCATGTTGAGAAACGCTAAATGCAAGCGTCAGAAGTCAGAAACATTTGAAACTCCTTGGGAAGTTTTTTTGCTTTAGTTTTGGTTCAGGTGCCTCAGTCAACTTCAGAGGCTTACTGCATCAGTAAGTCAACAGGCCTGGGGCTTTGACTAAACAAGAACCACCTTGAAGAATTATCTATTGGGATTCCTAACTAAAAAGACAATCTATCTTCTACCAGGAGTGTTGCTTTACCTCCAACAGATTTGTCACTTTTCTTCCCCTGGGTGACGGAGCCGCAAAAGGATTACTCAAAGCCCATTTCTTCTGAACAGTGAGAGACCCCTAAGGGGTTAATTTCCCAGAACTCTCAAGAGTGAGGCATTCCTTCTTTTTGGAAATTAACCATGAATTGGGGTTCTCTCCCCACATTTATTTTCCAGACCAGGAAGTTACAGAAAAAGAACATAGGTGGGGTAATAGTTTAACAATAAAGGCTGGTAACAAGCAAAGTGACATTCCATAATGCAATTTGCAAAAGGTTAAGTCAATCCACCAACAAAAGCTTGATCTTAGCAAACACTATTTTTCCCTACAGCTATTTCCCAGTGTCTTTACTTATCAATCAGTAACTTATCTGTCCTTGAGCCAGCAACCTTGCTGTGTTACAATTCTTTATCTTACAACAGAGACTTTTAGCCTGGGGAAAGTTTCCTGTCTTTTGCAAGGTTAACATTTTATATGTACTTTTAAGAAGTTAAGCTAAACTGGAAACTACAGGGAACTAGACTCTGTGAAATATATTTGCTCTATAAATGTAAGTATACTCCATGAAGAGGTCACTAATACACTAATCATCCCTGAGAGCATAGTGATAAATCAAAGGCTAAGAAAGCAAGATCAATAGGTTGATATTTCCAGATTTAATAAGGTTATGTGGTCCCTATCATCAAACACCATTGTTTCCATCAAAATTCAATGTTTCATCTATAATACTAGTAGAAACAAAACAACAAAAGGCGTGCACATAAGTAAAAACAATGTTTGGAATTGAAGTTTGCTCTTAATAAACCAACACAAACTCCATGTGACACATGATTTCTAAATGGCTTTACCTTATGAGTTGTAAAACTGTATTCTATGATATTAGAGCCTTAGTCATTATGCTGATGGAATCATTTTTCAGTGACTTCTCACTTCTTCAACAGTTAGAGGGATGAAGTGTCAATTAAGGCATTAACTTTTACCACACTCTTTTTTTGAGAGTAACTTCTTATGCAACAAAAAGCCTTTGGGATATCTTTGCCACATAAGTCACTGATGACACTTTCCTTTGGCGTGTATTTTTTGGTGTTTAGTAAGATTAGAGCTCCCACGGAAAGCTTTCCCACACTCATCACACTCGTATGGTTTCTCGCCAGTATGGATTCTCTGGTGTTCAATAAGGGTTGAGATCTGGTTGAATGCTTTTCCACACTCTCCACACTCATAGGGCTTTTCTCCAGAGTGGATTCTCTGATGTTTGATGAGGGCTGAACTCACACAGAAAGCTTTCCCACACTCAACACACTCATAAGGTTTCTCACCAGTATGAATTCTCTGATGTTTGATAAGGTCTGAGCTCACACTAAATGCTTTGCCACACTCAATACATTCATAGGGTTTCTCTCCATTGTGGATTCTCTGATGTATAATCAGATGTGCCTTTGCACTGAAGGCTTTCTTACACTCATTACAAGCATATGGCTTTTCACCAGTGTGGATTCTTTCGTGAACAGTAAGGGTTGAGCGCACATTGAAGGCTTTTCCACAGTGATCACACTCATAGGGTTTCTCTCCAGTGTGGATTCTCCGATGTCGAACAAGGCCTGAACTCTGTGCAAACTTCTTTCCACACTCACTGCATTTATATCGTCTTTCTTCTGTGGGCCTGCCTTCATGCCTTTCTAACTGGTCCTCAAAGTGAGAAGCTTGTTCATACTCAGGAATCTGTAAAGTATCCCCATTATATACGCTGGGGACCTTCTGGTGTGGGTCCATCCTTACAAAAAAATCTTCCCTTCAGAGTTGACACCTTGCTCACACCTCTGGCCTTGATTCCTGAAAAAATAAACAGACCTTTCAAATGTACTTGATTCCCTAATGTTTTTTGGCGGTGGGGGGTGGGGGGGAGCTGGCTGGTATGGGGATCTGAACCCATGATCTTGGTGTTATAAGGCTGTGCTGTTCCTTGATGCTAAAGCAATACAACGTGATACAGACTTAACTAAGGCTCTCAAACACATTTGGTAATCCCAGGACTTACCAGTCATATGGGCGCCAGATATTTTCACTCATCCTGTACCATGACACAGTAAAATCACAGAAGTATTAGGATGAATACCTGACTCAAATGGCTGTTTAAATCTATCCTCTATAAAAGTATCTAAAACACAGAATCTGGGATATAAGAAAATATACAAATAATATATAGTTCCTATTTTAAAAGATTTTTTATCATATTTAATTAAATTAGGAAATGATAAACTGGAAGAGATTTGCAGATAGAGCAGGAGAAGGAGTATGGGAATAGAGAAGGCAAAAGAAAAATAAATTAAACTGACAGGTAAGTTTGGAAAGACAATAGTAACATCACTGACAGGTATATTTTACCACCCACAGGAGTCACACTACTTTAGCTAGAAGAAAGACCTGGAGGAAAAAAAAGCTCTGCTCGTTGCTATGCAACTACTGTTACTGCAGCTGTGGTTGCTATCATAAACAGTATCTTAGCAACAGGAATGCTTTGTTTCCTCTGGAACTGTGACAGAGTAAACCCTTCAGT